CAACCTTCCGCCGCCCATGAGTGTTTGTAATTTTTCCGTAAAACTATACTGAAAAAAGAATTATTAAAGCATGACTTTGAAAGCTTTGTTGCTATAAAAATGATAAATTTATACTTTTTAAAAATTACATTTTCTTAAAAATTTCAGACTGCTTTTGACGGTAATGACAATGTAACTATCCACAGTTCATTAAATCAAAACATGCCACGGAAAGAACGATGTAAAAAATTCCGAGAAAATTTACTCAAAACAGCAGCTTCTGGAACTCAAAAGCTCAGTAGCTTCGGTTTTGCCACTACTAGTGTATCACATGATTCATCCGATATTGATAAAATTTCTCCATCCAGCAATAGCCAGGAAAAAGAAATATTGCCATGTTGTCATACAGCTGGCAACGTTATTACTCAATTTTACAGTGAAACAACCTCTGATCATTGCGAAGTTACATTAAACTTGCCAAAACCTGGCCTTATTTCTGATGCAGAGCCACAAAACCAAATTGTCCCAGCCGAAACATCAAGTGATAAAATGCCCACTATTGCTGCATTTCAAACCCATGATTTCGAAGTGTGTACAAAGTCTGCAACTACAACTGACTCAAATCATCTGCTATCGAAGTATAACTTGGATTTGGATCCAACTGATACATTTCCTCCAAAGACATATGTTCAGGCAAATAAGTCTTCACCAGAAAACTGTGACTCGCGGCTCACTCGCCATGTTGTACGCAAGGCTTTCCATGCCATCCCATCTCAGACGAATTGAAGAAGACATCCATAAAGCAGGCACGCGCTGAAGGCCAATTTCGACCGTGTCCATTATCTGTCTTTTCAAAGTTTCCTTGGGCTACGTACTGCATGACACGTGGTACTATAGCTTGCTTTCACTGCAAAAAAGCTACCGAAAGAAACTTAATCACATTTAGTTATCATACGGAGAAAGCATTTTCATTAGGAGAGTTTTGCAACTGGAAAAAGTGCCATGAGAAGTTTGAGAAACATCAGAACTCTCATTGCCATCACGAAGCTGTTGAAAAACTTGCACGCCTTGATCATGAGAAGAATGATATTGGCGCTCAACTTGACAGTCAGTACCAAGGTGAACAAAATCTTCATCAAAGACTTTTCCTAAAGCAGCTCAGCAGCTTGAAATATTTAGTCCGCCAGGGAATTCCACTCCGCGGGCATGATTCTTTGGACAGTAACTTAATTCAGTTGCTGAAGACCAGGTCAGAAGATATTCCGGAGTTAAATGGCTGGGTCAGGAATGGACAGTACCTTAGCCCGTTGATAATCAATGAATTAATTGAAATGATGGGCAATAGTGTTTTGCCTGATATTTTAAGAGACATTAGAGATAACTCTGGGTTATTTTCTCTACTTGCTGATGAGTCTCGTGATATTAGTAATAAAGAACAACTGACGTGCATTATTCGGTGGGTCTCTCTACCAGATTTGGAGATAAATGAAGATTTCATTGGGATGTATTTGATCAATAAACCGAACGCCGAAACGATAGCAACATCTCTCAAAGATATAGTTAAGATGTAACGTGGTTGTCGATGGCAGGCGTATGATGGGGCCGCAACAATGAGCGGCCATTTAAGTGGCGTTGGAGCCCGGTTACAAGCGGAGAATCCAATAGCTTATCGAAACCACAGTGCAAACCACCGGTTAGATTTGGTTTTGAAGGCCTGTGCCAAAGAGAGCAAACTTATTAGTGATATCCTTAGCTATGTACAGGAGTTGGCCGTTTTCATCAGGGACTCTCCAGTTCGTATGGCTGTGTATGAGAGTATTGCCAAAGACTGTCTGGCAAACGAAGATGAAAAATCCGTCGTAAATCTTCACCTTCTTTGCCCAACTCGATGGACTGTTAGAACCAGTGCGATAAAAGCCACCTTGGACAATTATCAAGGAATATATGATACGTTAAGGAACATTTCAAGAACCGCGTCAACGAGAGATAGTCGTGACAAAGCGTCAGGATTAGCCAAAAAGATGACGGAGTTTGCCACATTTCTTGGCCTGCGTTTTGCATTAAGTCTTTTCAGTGTTTGCGAACAACTTGCTTGTACAATCCAAACTAAAGGAATCTTAGCACAAACAGTGATGAATGGAGTAAAAGCTTTGCAAGGTGCCTTGCAACGACAGAGAGATGACTACACCTGCTTTTTCCGCCAGACAAGTGATTTGGCCTCTGCCATGCCCATAATGGAAAAGCCGGTTCTTCCACGTCCAAAAAAGGTGCCTCGACGTCTAGACAATGACGGTTTCGCTGCCCATCACCAATTTAACTCTGTTGAAGATATGCACCGTGCTGATTATTTTGAGGGCATTGACGCTTGTCTTTCCGAGCTTTATCGTCGTTTCGACGAAGAGTCGTACCCACCACTTCAGCATTTTGAGAGTATAATCTTAAATGCAGCAAATGGTCTTAGTTTCGAAATAAGCGAAACCTTTCGGAAAGCGTATGAGAACGATGTGAACTTTGGTGTTTTGCAATCAGAACTGAAACTTCTTGAAATCGTTACCAAACAAGCCTTTCCTGAAATTAAACGTGTGACATCGATGGAAACTGTATTGTCTGTTTTAACCAAAGGGCAAAATAGCACTCACTTACTTCCTAATGTTCTTCGCTTGATGCACGCATATTTACTAGCTCCATTAACTACTGCGTCTGCTGAAAGATTTTCCGTGCAAAGGTTAATAAAAAGTTATCTGAGAAGCACCATAACGGAAAAGCGCTACAATAATCTTTTGATGCTCAATATGCACAAAGTAAGAACGGATTCTATTTGCCTTGGGACAATTGCAAAAGACTTTGTCGACAAAAACGAACGAAGATTAAGGTTTTTTGGTAAATTTTGAAGATGACACAGAACTGTCTCATACCCCTGTACTGAATCACAGTTTGTAAGGCCCCGTTTACATGAGACCAGGATGAAACCAAACTGGAATGAAAATTGTCAACATGAGTACATGAGACCGGTATGCAAATCACAAAATTTTTAATTTGTTCCCCTTGCCAGGCAATTTTCTTTTTTAGATGGCTTTTGTTAGCATGTTTTGTTCACTTGTTCCAATGTCAAGGTTACATCCGAGACCAGTCTAAAATGTATTTGTGTTTACATTCATTCCAGTCTGAATTCATGCCGGTCTGAAGTCAGTCGGCTTGGTCCAGCAGGCGGAATGACTTGAGCAGGCGGAATGACTTTTGACCTGCTCTCATGTAAACATCTATTATATATAATATTATGACCAAAACGAAATGTTCCCAGTTTGACATCGTTCCAATCTCGTGTGAACGGGACCTAATAAAATCCTTCAAAAGTTGGCTAAATTTTTCCAAAACTTCAGTCAATATAGTTTTGTAGTACACCCATCCCAAGACCTGTCACTAAATTATGGGTTCAGTTGCCTGATAGATATAATTCCTCAAATCATGATTTTTGAAGTTAATTTGATAAATATTTTTAATTATATGGATTATTGGGTCATATTTCTCTGCTATTTAGCCTTAATATTGTAGCCTTTTTTCAGGAATGAAGTGCAAACAAGCGCAAACAATAGCAATTCTTCTTCAACTAATGGGCAACAACTTCTAAATAGCAAGGAATTAGCTGAATGACTGTAGGGGTATGGATAGCTTTTTCATGCCCTCTGCTCAGTTTGTTGTTGTAACTTATGTTGAGCCATTGCAAGTGAATTTAACAAAGGCCAGTAAACAGAATTGACAAAAATATACACGATAAAGTTGCACATTTCAGCTTGGACTTTGGTACTATTTCAACTGTCAATTCGACATCGAATTTTGAAAGGTTCAAAACCTATCTGTCTCATGTTTTCTCACTATAAATATATCAATTATAAGACAAACAATACATCAATATTTAAAACAGACTTACCTTCGTTAACGTTGGCGACTTTGCTCTATTCTTTTAGACGTTTTTGGCTCTCAGAAAGGTTTTGAAATTTACAAAATCTTGCTAAAATACAACTTGCAAGAAATGTACTTTATCACATACTCAAAGGCCGTCGGGTTTTAAAACAATTATAAAATAAATATTTAAAACAAACTTACCTTTGTTAACGTCGGCTCCCTTCTTTTAGCCCATTCTTTCGTCTTTTCTTTCTTGAAATTTACAAAATCTTGCAAAAATGCGAGCAAAAATAAGATATATTTGCAAGAAATTTATGGCTATTAGTAAAACACGGAGCACGGAGCACGGAGCACACGGAGCACGGAGCACACGGAGTACGGAGCACACGGAGCACGGAGCACACGAAGTACGGAGCAGTAGAAAAACGAAAATCCTTTATAATAAAATACACTGTTTACTATTCCAAATTTTTGTTATTATTAACAAAGTTTTTTCGCGTATTACACGTTGGGGAAGTAGGAAAATGGGGCTTTTACTGAAAAACACATATTATATTCCGATGGGCAACACATAAAGAAACACTTACTGTAGAGAACAGCCGATATATTTCGTTACCCCTGCCAAAAAATAGCCAAGTACTCATCTTTCAATGTAGCCGATCGACTGAACATTAAAGCTTGTGATGGACAGAAGTGAATTTTCGGTTTTATATCCTTCGGCCCAGTGTGCTGTACGTGTTTCTTGACTGCCGGGCACGTAATTACATTGTAGTTCTATAATTAGCGTATGCAAAACTTCTACATTTCAGTCAAGCAACGGCAAATACTTGGCGATTTTAGTGTTTTTCTTCGTTTATTTACAAGAAAAAGTATTGCTTCAGGTGGTTATTTAATACTTGTTTACAAAACAAACATAAAACCAACTAAAAAGTGTTAAATTAAACCGGCAAGACTTGTTTCACTTCATCCCGGTAAGCGGGCTGGCGTGTTCATATGGAAAAATTTTCATCCCGCCTACCTATGATCTCGGCAAATTCAAACGAGATCTCGGCAAGCGGGCCAGCTCGCTTTCTCATATGAACACAATGCAAAATTTTATAGGAAAATAGATAGGCGGCGAGATCATCGGTAAGCGGGACGTCCCGGTAAGCGGGATCATATGAACAGGCCCTTAGATTCCAATGGAATTATAAAGTTTGATAGTTTAGTCTTTAGATACATGTGATGGATATTTTGACTATAGCCTAAACTAGATAGAGTACACACAATATGCGTTACAATAATGCGTACAGTCGTTTACTTTTGGTCCAGTAAGCTAACAAATCGTACAGCCGTTTACTGTCTTTTGAAGTCGAGTACGTGTAAAAAGCATACATTCCCAAATACTTGGTCGAGTACGCACGCATATCGAAATGCACTATTATTCGAGCTATTATTTAGGCCTTCCCGATTGCGCTGGTAAAATCCAAACAAAGTTCTGGCAAAAAGGGCTAAAAAGTGCTCAAAAAGTGCTCAAAATCTCAAAATAGTGCTCAAAAAGTGCTAAAATTGTGAACAGT